AATGTAAATGAATAATTGGTTCGTATGTGAGAAGGTAGGATGATAGCCCACCTCGGTCCTCAGAGGTGGATAGATATAGTTGTTTATGAGCTACAGCCTCCATTCAATACTAGGTAGATTGTTTGCTCGTTTGCCACCAAGTAGCTGATAACGAATAAAAGTAGATTGGTAGTAGGGCGTAAACTTGCCCAGTACCCAAAAAATTAAGTCGTGGGTGGGTTTCGTATGAGTGTACTACCACGGAAAACCCTGGACAGCCTTCATAGCTTGTAAAAGGTGGCGGCATTATCATCTCGTTTACACTAGACGTACATTATCTGAACCGACCACGAGGAGTAAGTAGGTTAAAGCTGTGAGACGTCTTTTACTGTTATTGCAAATTCACCTGCCAAACGTAGCAATTAAGGCGAATCCTGCTAACGGACTTGGGCGAGCTAATAATGTAGAAAAAGAAGGGTGATATTAAATTCAATGGTATAAATTTTTTCTTCGACGTAAGACAGTACAGTAAGATTTCGTTTGTCATAATATGTGATTTTTCAAATCTACTATAGTTTCGATTAAATGATGTTCCCCTAAAAGAGAACAAGAGAGAAACTCCGAAGATATCTTTTTTTGTTGATACATATAACAATAGCATAGTGTTTACCACAAATATTATAAACCGTATTCATACATAATGAAAGCTATAGGCAAAGTTAGGTAAAGGTTAGTAGTTAAAAATAAATCAAAAGATGCTGCGGTGTTCGAAATCGGCTAGTGGAATAGTTTTTATTGCTACTGGAAAACGACTTCCATCGCGTCACATTGTTTATAAATTAGAACCAGTGAGTGTTCTGGTGCGTATACACGAGTTGGTGTATTCGAAATCGAAAAAAATCGCCTAAAGATTGGATCTAAAATTTGTATCTTATTAAATATTATGTACTTAAGTTTTTTATAGGGTAGGGTGATAAACGAGCACACATTCCACCTGATGGTAAGTGGTTGCTGTGGCCCATAGACATCTAATTTTATCCTAGATTATGAAACAAAATGCAGATGCGTTGTCATCCGTGAGGACAAAGATGAAATGCTTTGTGTCACATATATCTGTAGGTAAGCTTGTGACCACCTTCATTACATTCAATTGCTTATACTCGTAAGTTTTGGTCTATTAGATTGTGTTATTGCAATTTCTTCTATCAACAATATATCATCAACCAATATAAGGGAAACCGATTATCGGCCATACTTTTAGTTTATTACATTAATGTTTGATAATTAGTATTGCTCGGCTGTAGTCTTATGGTCTAAATATCTAATAGCAGTGATGAACATTATATGACCTAAATTTGCAGTAAAACAAAGCAAAAATGTTAAACCTGTAATTAAATTTAAATATTAAAACTAACGGCAAAGTAACGTAATCCTATTAGTGGGGTAAGTTGCTTAATGCTGATATGAAATTTTAATGAAAGCGTCGTCATGCCGGTCGGTTCCGGCCGCACATCCTTTATTTATCTCGCTCATAAATTTCTTCACTAGGCTGCAGAGTTTTTAATACCTATGTACACTCGTTTTTGGAAATATAAGCTATGCAGTTTGAAGTTCCTTTAATTCTTGAGTGTATGATGTTATGTTATGACTATATGGTTTTGACTTTGTGCTGTAAAAACTACTAACATGGCTCCATTTCTATATCAAACACGCTAAATATATTTAATAAAAAAAAATAATAGTTTCTTTAACCACAATTCTTAGTATATTTTATTGAGGTAAGATAACATTTTAAATTTGACATCAATAGATTTTTTATTTATTAAACATCTCTTTATTAAGTACATTTCACTCTATTTTTACTTGTTGTGGCATTGGAAACAGGGCCTTCAGCCAAAAATTACATCAAACGCTTTATTATATTATTATCATTATTATCATTACAGCCTTTCAAAATCTCACTTTTTTATTTAATTATTTTTATTTATTCTGTAGTCGACTGCTGAACATAGGCCTCCCCTAAGACGCCACATAAGGGGGATGTTTGCCATAGGATTTGCCATAGGAGTTGGGGCAGCAACTTCTTCCTAATAACTTTAAAACAAAGAAATGCGGTCGCCTACCCGCCCGCCAAGTGTGGGCAACTGGCAACCATGTGGGCCACATGGCCACATGGTCCTTATGAGGCAAACGATTGGGGGAGCCTATGTATGTGTTTAGCTCTCCCGTGACGGGACATTTGATAGGCTGTAGAGGTAAACTATTACACAAAATCACATAACTTTAACGTATCCAAATCTACTTCAAACCATTATTTAAATGATAAAACAAGATCAGCAAACCGCCGCCAGTCAAATTCTCGCCAAAACTCTTCAATCCTTATTCTCGACAGCTCAAAGATTATCCTTTACCGAACGTGGCTTCTTTCACATTAGCGAGGATTTGCATTATTTTTTCTTTCTAGATACGCAGCCCTTTAACATATTCGTATTCTTTATTTAAATATTTTTTTTAAACTTTAATTATAAGCCAGTGCTAGAATACCATTCCCGCTTGGTGGTGCTGAAGCACAAGGTACGCGTTATGTATTAGAGCCATATTGTCGCTATATTATACGTGGTAGAGCCATTTTGCACCTATATTATTTATTGTGACACGAATGGGTAGGCTCGACTTGGGAAGGCCCAGGCTCTTACGGAATACCAGCGTAAAAAGCTGCTCAATGCTGCTGCGTTTCGTATGGTGAGTGTAGAAAACCGGAGATCTTTTTTACTGGAAACGAGGCAAGGGTAACAATCTTTTTTTATATAGAATAGGGTGACAAACGAGCACATAGTCCATCTGATGGTAAGTGGTTGCTGCGGCCCATAGACATCTACATCTATCCTCCATTAAAAATCAAAATGCAGATGTGTTGTCACTCGTGAGGACTGAGATGGAAAACCTCGTTTCCAGTAAAAAGGGTCTACGGTTCTCTACACTCACCATACGAAATACAGCAGCATTAAACTACTATTTCACGCTGGTATTCTGTGAGAGCGTGGTCCTTCCCCGGTCGAGCCGACCCATTCGTGCAACAACTATACTACTAATATAACTGCAGCATGGCTCTACCACGTATGTATCAGGCGGATACTTGTCAACGGATTTTACTATATATTTTTTTTGTAAAACATATCGACTTAACTAGTATTAACAACTTAATATTACTAATATATGAAAGTAATGACGAGACATAATGATTTCTTATATTTAAACAAATACATATTGTTAACGGTTTATTTTTGCTTTTTTGTAAGTATTTTATTTTGGTTCGGTATAGAAATCTTATTGGTTGAACTATTTTTACGAATTTAATTGCGTTTAATTTTAATTTATAATTAATTCGAGACTTTTTTTAATAATGCGTAATTACCGCACAATACAGATTAAGAACAGCGTGAAGCTCCAGGAAGTCTGTATGTAAACATGTTCAGGTCTATCCCTTTATTACATCAGATTTAATAGACGCAAATTCCTACAAAAGAACAACAGGTACTATTAGTTTAATTTGTGAGGTTATTGAAGTTAAAAAAAAACAAATTTCAACGGAGAAAATGTCTGGATATATCATCTGCTTGACGTCAAGATTCTGCAAAATATTTCTGCGTAGATTGGACTAAAATATTTAAAATGCTGAATGTAACCTGAGTTAATTATAACATTAGCAATTGAAACACCACAGGCTAAAGTTAAACGCGATAAACTCGTTTAAATTAATTTATGCAAATATTAATTTATGCAAAAAACTTAGCCAACCATATTCAAGCCAAAATAATAACCCAATAGCCAAAAGGCTATATATATATATATAAACTTTTGTTTCGACATTCACGCTGCAGAGACTGACTGCAGCACGAAAGAGTCTGCACGACATTATCGTGGTAGAGCCTTGCTGCAGCTATGTTATAGTTGTAACACGAATGGGTCGGCTCGACCGGGGAAGGACCACGCTCTCACAGAATAATAGCGTAAAATAGTAGCTTAATGCTGCTGTGTTTCGTATGGCGAGTGTAGAGAACCGGAGACCCTTTTTACTGGAAACGAGGCATTCCATCTTAGTCATCACAGGTGACAACGCATTTGTATTTTGATTTGTAATCGGAGATAGATGAAGATGTCCATAGTCCGCAGCAACCACTTACCATCAGGTGGACTGTGTGCTAGTTTGTCACCCTATCCTATGAAAAAAACTGCTTAGAATCTAAAATATATGTAATTATATTCATATTGGACAGTTTTTTTTTCTCAATGACAAGTACTCCTTTCTCTTTTTTTAATATCCATTATTCCCACCACGGCTTAGGCAAGTCCTATTTTCTGCTGTTTTGATAAATACGTCGCCATCGATCAAACGTGCAACCCCGTCGATACTACTTAACGAATGCGCTTCGTCACGATTTAGAATTCAATTTAGTGTAATGTGATCACTAGCTTCCAATTTAGGTTCCTAATTAGATTTTCTAAAAATTGTATAATGTAGTAAGCGCTTAAGATGATATTTCTAGGACACATCGGTTAGCGAGATCGGCTCGACCGGGGAAGGACCACGCTCTCACAGAATACCAGTGTAAAATAGCAACTGAGCTTCGTATGGCGAGTGTAGAGAACCGGAGACCCCTTTTACTGGATGATGAAGATGAAATACCTCGTCTATTCAATCTTAGTCTTCAGGGTGACAACGCATGGGCATTTTGATTCTCAATTGAGCATAGATGTTGATGTCTATGGGCCACAGCATCCACTACCCTATATCTCGTTGATGTTGTAAGAGGGGAAAGGGGTAATGAAATATGAGATGAACAGCAGAGTATTCCTATTATAAAGGGAAATAAAAACACGGCTTTTGCCCGCTTGCCAAGCGTAGTAACTATAGTGAATGATGTCCTATGGTCCAACCTTGGGCCTATGTTTAGCAGTTCAGTTTTGATAGCGTAATGTAGTGATAACATTATTAAGGGGTCTTTAAGTAGTCGACTTACTTGTAAGAATACGTGAAGAATGGCGTGAGGGTCTCCTCCACCGAGATGTGCCGCGCGCGCACCAGCCAGAACCAGCCTCATGCAAAACGGAGCTGCGAAGCACAGGCGACGTTCCCATGGAGACCACGCGCGCATCGCCTGTTTAATTAATCCTGATTTAGTTCTTAAAAGTAATGCCACATGTTACGGGCCTTACATTTCTAAGCGACATACTATAATAGTCACAGTAGCTTGGGGAATTAGGGGCTGGACGCAAACGTCTACTTCGATACCTGCCCGCGGATTTGCCAGCGGAGTATGGAGAGGTCTATGCTCACATATTTTCTGCGTGATATTCTTCGTAATGAGGACATTCACAGCCGAATCGACATACATAGGTAGAGTAATCGACATAGCCCAACGGATCAATAAGTTTTAGTGGCAATGGTCCGGCTATATATCTTAAGGAACCGACAACCGGTAACCAAGGAGGCATACCTCAGTCAAGCTCAGAACCGTGATTTGTAGCATTTTTGAGGGATTTGTTCAGCAGTGGATTTGTTTAGGGCTGTTATGTTGATGATGAAAAATTCAAAGACCGATGACCCGACTATTTTGTTCCTTAAGAGCTTTTTATGGGGACGACAAATTTTGCTTCGCGGAGCACACAGTTCCACAAGATGATAAGAAGTATACTATGCTACATAGGCACCTATATCTATCCTCGATTAAATATAAAAATGTAGAAGCATTGTCAACCTTGAAGACTAAGTAACTGGTAATAGTAAAACAGGTCGTCTGTTCTTGTAATATCATATTATGAAACATAAGCCTTATGCAGTTTTTTACGCTGTTATTCTGTGCAAGCGAGGACCTCACCCCCTATAGCTGACCTGTTCGTATAGTAGTCACAAGCGCTGCACTTCACACAAATAAAATTTTTATAATATATATAAGCCACCTTTGACCATATCCGGTACCACCGTGGCTGTTAAGTCGATTAGAAAAAAAAAACACTTGTCTAATTTGGAATGGATTTGTATCTTTCACACATTTATATATTTTTCCTTTACAGCCTTTACAATCTGTTATTGGCTATATCAGACCCTTAAAAAACGCTTGAAATGACGCATTTGTTGAGAGTTTCGCATACTTATCATCATAAGAGCTCAATAGTAATGTCATTTATTACTGTAATGCTCTCTGTTACTATGTCATGAGCTTTAGCTTCGACAGGAGGTCTCTAGAGCCTCATTTGCAAGCACAGTGCAAGATTGACCAATGAATCGCATGTAGGTGTGAATGGATTCTGGAATATTCCCACTTAGCACACTACATTTGTACAGTCGGAAGCGCAGTGCCTAAGCGTTTAGTTGTGGCGCTGCAGGTCGTTGGTTTGACTCCCGAACGTAGCATGTATTCGTTGTCGAAAGCGTGACTGCTGATTATATGGTGTTGAGTTTGAATTTTGGGTCGGGCCAAAATAAGTTATTTGGTTTTCTGTCAAGAAATTCTCAGTGCCTCAGACAGTACGTAAAGCCGTTCGTCTTGGGCCTGATCTCGATCCAGCCCTGTCTGATATCGTCCCATTAGACTATGAGAGTGTGGGAATCGAGAGTGCACCTGTGCTTGCGCATACACTCGTCCATTATAAACCTGACCTGCGCTGATGGCTAGTCTCCGTTGAGACAGAGAACAATGACCGAAATTAGGTCTGGAGGACATTATTATGTATTTGTATACGTGTATCTACAAAATATTCTTTTGGGATATTCTTTTTCCCGTACCTAACGGGTTTTCTGCCACCAATAGCCATCTATTTCATGGCAATTATGAATGCATATATAAATCACTTCCACGATACAAGAGAATCCCTAAAGGCTTTTTTAAAGTAATAATACGTGTAAAGTAATGAAACGTACGTTTTATACGTGATCGTGCCATGCTGCAGCTATATTATGGTTGTAGCACAAACGAGTCTGCCCGACCGGGGTAGGACCAAGCCCTCACAGAATACCAGCGTGTAATAGCAGCTTAATGCTGCTGTGTTGCATATAGTGAGTGGAGAGAATCGGAGAACCTTTTCACTGGATACGAGGCATTCCGTTTTAGTCCTCAGGGGTGACAACATAACTGTTATCTTCTCTGATCTTAGTCTTCAGCGATCACAACGTATCTGCATTAAGTTATATCTTTTTTTAGCATTGGGTGACAAACGAGCAAACAGTCCAACTGATGGTAAGTGGATGTTGTGGCCCACAGACATCCACATTTATCCTCAATCAAGAATCAAAATGCAAATGCGTTGTCACCCCTGAGTACTGATATGGACTGCCTCGATTCCAGTAAAAAACCTCCGGTTCTCTACACTCACCATACGTAACACAGCAGCATTACACTGCTATTTTACGCTGGTATTCTGTGAGAGCGTGGTACCGCCTCGGTCGAGCCGATTGATTCACACTGCAACTATAATATAGCTGCAGCGTGGCTTTACCACATAAGAAAGGTAGGTCGGGTCCGTCGGTACACCCAGGATAGCCACTGCAACCTATCTATCAGCTCATGGTGCCTCGTTGAGAAGCGTTATATTTCATCGCTAAGCATCAGTGTCACCTTTTTCAATTGCATTTTGACTCTTAATCGAGGATAAATGTAGATGTCTACATCACAGTATCCACTTACCATCAGGTGGAGGACACAATCGCTTCCGCTTGTTTGTTATAGATTTAATTATTCTATAAAATAAAATGTAATTCAAAGTTGGTCAGTAATTATAATAATAAAAATAATAGTCTTACTTTGTAGAGGCCAAGCAGGCTACCGAGACAATAAATTCCGAGCGCGGTATAGCGCAGCGGCGCTGGTGCGCAGTACACCGTCGCTGTCACCATCGGGATCGCGCCTGCAACAATATAACATATTTTCACATTAAACTAGCTGGCCAAGTAAATATTGTTCTGTCGCTTCCGGCGACCCTTTGCCCTATTAAAAAAAAACCTTAAATTCGCAATGAAAATATTGATGGTCACTTATCGAAATAAAAATTATTCTATCGCTCAAGTTGGAGCAAACAATACACAACATTTATTTCATTAAAATTGGTTGAGTTTAGCGTGAACGAACATAGTTTACACGAGATTTTTGGTGATACCTCGAAAATTTGGTGGTTTTTCTATATAACATATTTTTTTAAGTTTTGTAGATTACAAACCAAAATTTTGGTTTATGATTTTTAACTATATGACCTTGGATTACATAAAATAAAAACACTATATCACGTAATTTTCTCGATAGAAAAAAATTGCAAAGTAGGCTCTGATTATTTACATTTCTCGATGACACCACAATGTTCTTACAAATAATTTCATGGAATTATTTTTAAGGCATAGTAAATAATCATATCTAAGTTCTCATAAACCAGTTTTTTAATCCATAACGAAGTTTTGTTAAAATAAATAAAAATGTTGTTTGGCGCTTACTTAGTTTTTTTCCAAACGCTTGCTCGGTATGTCTATCTCATAATTTGCGTACGATGAAGTCATTGCATCACTTTCATTTTGACAATCCCGCAGTCGTCCGTTAGCTTCACCGACAAAGGAATAAGCCACACCCCTAAAACTGCAATTCATTTTCAAGGTATCCTCTTAAGATAAAATATTACCATATCAGCCTGTTTGAATTGACATTTAGTCCGTCCGTATACGGTTCAGACCACAGAACACAATTACTCTCTACCGAGAAGGCCCGACAGAATTCCGTTGTCTAGGGCTGTTGATTAGTCCCTTCGTTTGTACTAAGTATTATTTCGTCAAGCATTCAGCATGAGACACTGTTATTTTCCGGTTTAAAGGGAATGTCGCCTTTTATTCCGGCCGGCTGATGCCTTTCATAGTCAGTTCTGAAGCTAGACGAAGACGTGTGCTGTAGAAATACTGCTGTTTCGTTTGAAGTGTGACGGAGACTCTTTTTACTTATAATAGGGTATTTCATTTTAGTCGTCTAAGTTAGAGTGACAAAGAGTTTTAGCATCTACTTACCATCAAGTAGACCGTGAGCTTGTTAGTTATGTTAATTTATTTAAAAAAACACATGAGTGACGCTTAAATGTTTGCACTGCAGTATAACGTTAGTTCAAATGTGTGTTTGCTTATACCCTGATCTTATTTTCGATGTAACTATTTAATGACACAGCATGATTATGTCAACTCAGGACCACGCTCTCTCGGAATTCCACCGTAAAAGAGCAGTTTAAGGCTATTGCGTTTTATATGGGTAACAAACATTCCATCTAAGTCATCAGGGGCGAAAACACATCCGCATTATGATTCTTATTTGAAAATAGACGTCTATAAAACTTAGTGACTATATATCTTTTGGATGTAGTTATCTCTGGGTGTGTTGTACCTAAAGACATACCTATAGATACCTACATATACCTTCCAAACTAATGGTGAATAGTGGTCCGTAACCTGACGACCAAAGTAACACGGAGACTTAAACACAATTTTTTGTTTACTTGAGCTTTCAAATTTTGAAAAACGTCCATACTACATAACGTCAACATAACGTTATGGACGTTACGGATAATAATCATGCAGCAACTGATCCCAGAACTTCAGTTTAAGCAAACATTGGTTTCCGTTATAGTATAGATATTTTAGTGAAAACCTATGGAATCTAGTCTATTTTGCTTCTCTATCCATCTGCTAAAGATCTTTATCTTTGAATCTACTTCATGTAGATGATTAAATTCTGAATAGTTAGCACGAGGATTGAAACATAGGCAAAATTTCCTCACCAAATCTATCTATTAGCGCAATCAATTTTTATAGAAATTCTAATGATATCATTTATATCATTTGTATTTGCCCTTTTTAAAGTGACTAAACTTGACTATTTTCTGTCATACGTTAAATAAAATAAAAATACAAATAAGATTTTACCTTACTACAAATATGTATTCTAGGACAAAAAACTATTATGTTGTTATTTTCTTTCATTACTACGCAATAAATAAAAAAGTACGTTTTGACAGACATATGAATGTTTCCTACTCTTCTGTGCAAGTCTAGCATACGCTTGACCGTTTTTTTGTGAAGCAAGTTTTAATGTTATGTAACAGAATCTGGCACGGTATGAAATTTTCCTCAAAATTGCTTTAGCTTTGCGGTTCGCCGGTACGGATATCATACAAATGTTTTCCTCTGTTATATCCATTGATAAGGACACTAGAGTAAATATTTTTTACGCTACAATCTATACCTACTATTGCCATTTTGATTTTTTCTATGATTAAATCATAGAAAAAATTGTTTTTAAAATTAGGAAAATTACTAAAACTGTTCAGTTCCTAAAATTACTAAAATTGTTCAATTATACCATCGGTACAATTTTGGAGTAGGAAACAAGGACAATACGATTTTGTTAAGTTTTTATAGTTAATATCATATAGATATATAGAAATGTCTCGAAAGATCGAGCTATAACCTATAGCTCGGTCCTTCGAGCACGCCGCGACAGACAATTAAAATTCTATTCTCAAAATTTCTTGTAGCCTAGATATTTATTCTCTTAACCTCGTTTTTCCGCAATATTCTCGCAGTAGGCTAAAAGTCTTGAAAGTTCATCGCTGTCAAAATAGGGCATACTTATCGGGCATTTTATGATACTCGTACCAATGCATAATGCATTTGAACATTTTTTGAAGAACACTGCGAAAAAAGCTAGTTTTAAAAGAAAATTAGGAATAATAATGTTAACTCATGCTATTATAAAAGTATCGCAACAGCTTTTTTAAATTGTAGCGGTGATTTCTTAAACAAAGGCGTATCACGTTAGAATAAAAGTATATAATACTTAATTGTATTAAGCTTTTTCTCTTTTTAAAGCTGTAATAAATTTAAATTATTCATATTATGCTTTAGAGGAGGATGTATACCTCTTATTAACAAAACCTTATAGTAGGATTTTTCTCTTATATTATTGTGAAGGTGTTTTACATACACAAATAACATATACAATTAATTACCAAGTGGGAACATTTGTACTTTAGGCCATGCCAAAGAGATTTAAATCTGTAAATATTTAAATATTTCTGGCCCAAATACACTTAATTCCGCGTTCAATACTGAAAATTGTGCTACTAAGCCATAAGATAAAATATTTAAAAAAAAACTGTCAGTCGAAGGATTGTACATCGAAAGTGAAACTTCTTAGAGTTACAAACTTCTAAACATTATTTTTGGGTACATAAATGTATTTTTTAATTTATTTAATTTATAATTAAAAAAATTGAATTTGAATTTGAATTTGAATTTGAATACAGTAATAAAATTTTCATTTATGGCGCTGTGTTACATGAAAAAGAATGATTATTATCTATATAATACAAACTAATTTATAAAACATATAAATTTTGTAAAATTAAATCGATTGGATTTTCAACATTACTTTCATCAATTTTATTTTTCCTCAACAGAAAAGTGCCCAACGTGCATAAAGAAGCATTCACTTAAAAAAATAATACTTAGATACGGGGAAATTGGCGTTTACAGTATTACATCGGAAATTTTGTATAAACTGACATCAGAAATTACATCTAAGTTTAAAAATTCTACACATCGTCACCTGAATATTAGATACATTTTTAGCAAAATTTGGAAATCCCCATGATATACTAATTATTATTAGTTTTTACATAATAAAGATAAAAATATTAATGTTGGCGTGTTTTTTTTTTTTTTTTTTTTATAGAAGAGGGGGCAAACGAGCATGTGGCTCACCTGATGTTAAGTGACTACCGCCGCCCATGATCAACCGCAACACCAGGGGAATTGCAGGTGCGTTGCCGGCCCTTTAGAAAGGAGTAAGCTCTTTTCTTGAAGGTCCCCAGGTCGTATCGGTCCGGAAAAATCACCGGTGGTAAATTATTCCACAGAGAGGTTGTACGCGGAAGAAAACTCCTTTTGAAACGTACAGTGGTGGACCGCCAAGCATCCAGATGGTGTGGATGGTATCGGGACGTTTGCCGTGTAGTGCGTTCACGAAATTTGGCGGCTGGGATTAATCCGAACAATTCCTCAGAGCACTCCCCGTGATAGATGCGATAAAATACGCAAAGAGATGCAACATCTCTTCGCAGCGCCAGTGAATCGAGCCGATCGGAAAGCACTCGGTCGTCAACGATTCGAGCCGCTCTGCGCTGGATGCGGTCAAGTGGAAGGAGCTGGTACTGGGGAGCCCCAGCCCAGAGATGGGAACAGTATTCCATGAGCGGCCGAACCTGCGCCTTGTAAAGTTGCAGGCGGTGTGCTGGCATGAAATACTGTCCCGCTCTGCTGAGCACGCCAAGCTTTTTTAGAGGCCAATTTGGCCTTCCCTTCCAAGTGACCACGAAACTGCACATCACTCGATATGTCGACGCCGAGGATTCCGATACTGGCTGAGGCAACAAGGGGAGTGCCTTGAAACTGAGGGGATACGACAAAGGGGTTCTTTTTAGCGGTTAACGCGCAAACTTGTGTCTTCTGGGGGTTAAACTGGACTAGATTTAGTCGCCCCCAATCCGAGACTCTGTCCAGCAGAGACTCGACTTCAGACACAAGTTTGTCCCGGCACTCAGAGACGTTTTCCCGAGAAATATTGGCTCGGCCGGTGTAAAGAGCATCACCAGTGCTGTCATCTGCATAGCAATGAATGCTACGGGTTTGCAACATATCATTGATATGCAGAAGAAACAGCGTTGGCGATAGCACGCAGCCCTGTGGAACACCAGCATTAATAAGCTTGCAATCGGAGCTTGCACCGTCTACAACGACCTTGATGCTCCGATCTGCAAGAAAACTGGTGATCCAATCGCACAATTTCTCGGGAAGCCCATAGGAAGGGAGCTTCGAAAGAAGC